CACATTTGCTCTCATTTCTAGACACACCCCCCCTTCGATGGAAAAGGACTTCTGTTCACGGTGCTTCGCTCTTCACTACTCCAGATGGCATTCTTAGCCAGCTCTGTGACTTCAACTATTGCTCTGATGCTAACTGCCTGCAAACCCAGCCTTTCTCATAGTTCTAGACCCACATTTACAACTTAGAGGAAGCTCTGGATTCAAGCAGAAATTGGCTTCAAAGTCTGACCATGAGCAAGTTTCTTAACCAATAAAATACAGAAAATAATCTGTTTTACAGGATGTTGTAAGAATTAATTATATCAAAGGCAATACAGCAATGTCATTAAATAGTAGTTGCTATTACTACAGATCATCTCCAAAGGGTCCTATCAAACCTGTTGTTCTTCAGTCAATTCTAATTCACAGCCGTCCTAGCAGACAGAGCAGAATTTTCCAAAGCTCCAATCTTATGAAAGCAGACTGCCACAACCACTGCACCACCAGGGCTCCTGAATGTGCTATGGACACCTTGAACTCAGTAGGTTCAAAGATAAACTGGCTATCTTTCACTTGTCCTCTTCTTGTCTACCTTTTCCCCATTAATGACACCACTCAAGCCCTCCAGCTAGGAAACCCTGGCTCCGTCTTTGAACACACCCTCATCCCATCAACTGCCAATTTTACTGCGCCTACCTCAGCAACTTCTGTCGGGCTCCCTGACATCAGCCTAGTCCAGGCCTTCATTACCACTTGTCTGAACTACTGCAGTAATTTCCTAAATGAGGTCCCTATTTTTGGACTCTCCAAATCCATCCTACACACCACTGATACTTCTTGGCTGACATAGAAAAATGTTCATGATATCATTGTGCATAAACATTTTAAAACACATTGCGTAATCTTGATTTTGTAAAAGAAACTAGGTAAATATGTAAAATACTCATGCCCTTCCTCCCCTCCACATACATACATACATACAAACAAAAACATGAAGTGGAAACGGGGACACTCAAAAGATATATTCAAAATGCTAACAGTTATCTCCAGACAGTAAGTTTACGGACAATTTTTCTTCTCTGTGCTTTTTCACATTTTTGGTGCTTTCTACAATCAACTTGTATTATTTTACTTTACAGTATAGCAGGCTTCTCTTAGAAAAGTCTCACATTCTTTGTCATGCCCACCAAGTCCTCTGTGATCTACCCCAACTGTCTTCCTCAGCTCTCAAGACCCTATCTTCCGCCTCTATACCTCAGGGCTTGACTGAACGCACTAGTCACCCACTGTCCTTCCACATCTTACCCTACTCGTTTCTCCATCCTCTGATCTCTACTGCCACCTGTTCAAATCTGTGCAATCCTTTAAGGCCCAGCTCAAGTACCTCTATTATGATTGTGGTATAAGTATAAAAATAGGTACAAAGTCCCTCAGTTAAAAGGCATGCTCTTCGAGTTTCTGGCCTTAGGTTGAGTTAATGAAAGCCTCAAAGACTTAACTGTCATCTCCAAAAAAAGACAACACAACCTACTTCAAATTATTGAATGAAACGACACAGGTAAAATAACCAGACATAAAACAAGTGTCAGATCAATGTATTACTTCCTACTGTCTTGTCTACAGGCCCTGTATATGGCAGTAGGAACAAATCTTACCTTTGACCACTGTTCTCTCTGGAACAGAGGCCAGAGAACGTTAACAAAGGAGCATCCTCAAACACCACATCACAACGCCTTCATTTCCTCCGAGAGCTGCTCTTTCTCCATGAGCCCTTCTGGGCTGGCTCCACCAGTGTTCTTCTTTCCTCACTTTCTGCGCTTACCCCGATGATTTCATCCACAACCAAGGTTTTGTCTCCTATTCAAAAGCTCATGATTCTCTCATTTGTGTCTCTGAAACTCACTGGAAGTAAGGTTGGCGAGACTTCCTCTCACATACTCTGGGTAAGTTATTAGTCCCTAAAGGAGGACATCATGCTTAGTAAAGGGTCAGCAAAAAGGAGGAAGACCTTCAATGGATGGACACAGTGGCGGTGTCAATATCGGGTAGTGTTTTGTTCTGTTCTACATACGCTTACTTTGAGCCAGAGGATTGAGATCCAAGGGCTCCCACTGACGACGATGACTCATCTTTCTCCCCAAATCTGTTCCTCTTCCTACATTCCCTATGGAACCATTTATCCACCAAAGACAAAGACCTGAGAGATTCCTCCTTCATTCCTTTTATTCCACATTCTTGCCATCTATCTCCAAGTTTAAATCCACCTACTCCCTATTCATGCCACGGAGTTTCATACCTTCATGTTTTATTCCTTCTACCTGGAAAATGTACCACTTGCTTCTTTAACAAGGTTTCTCTCATCCTTTAAAAATGAACTGAACACTAAAATACCTAGCATTTACCAAGTACAGACCACATTCCAGTCACTGTACACAAACACTTCACGTGCATGGTCTTAATCTAATTCTCAACAAGTGATGTCTTAGAGCATGGAAGGATTCAAAAAGCCTGTAAAAAAAATCCCATTAACTTTCAATTCCATTTTATCTTATAAAAGATGAAAAGAAAGAAAAGGGAGCTGAGAGAGACCCAGGACTACCATAAAAAGAGCTTAAAGCAGAATATGTACCTAGGTCCTTGCACTGGAACCTTCTCGATGCAGAGGAAGACTGAAGCCAAGACACACAGAGACCCCCAAAGAAGGCTGGGCCTACAGCTACTGAAAGGAGACAAGGATCTTGCTCCTAAACAGTGAGCCAACACAGAGAGAAAGCCTGCCCCTGGAGCCGGTGCCCTGGATTCAGACTTCTAGCCTCCTAAACTGCGAGAGAATAAATATGTTTGTTAAAGTCATCCACTAGATAAGGAAGATTGGTCCCCAGCCCTCATGCCTGGTGATTCGGTCTCTCGAGGTGTTAGGTCATGGCTAAGAAGCTTGCACTAACTTTGCCCCCACATGCTCTATTATATATCTGGATATATTTACAGCTCATGCAAATACATATGCAGAAATAGCCTCTGACAAACCTACACATGCTCGTGAAAGTACTCCCCCCGTGCCATCCCTCACCTCTTCAGCTGACAGATCCACCTATGTAGTCACTTGTACATGAGTTTATTACTGTGACTGCAGGATTGTGTATGCAGCAACAGCAGTCCCCCTTATTGCCTTTTACTCTTGCGTACTTCCCAATATCTCCCTTTGCCTAGTCACGCTATGCTGACCTCCCCCTCATTTGTCTACTGCCTTTTCTTTCACCCAAGTTAATACAGGTTTACTATCTAGTTCGTGATCTTTTCCATCCCTGGTAACCATCAAAGAATGTTTCTATGTGCGAACTGTTTCTTGACTTTTTATAATATTGGTCTCAAGAGTTTTTATATTTGTCCTTTAATAATGATTGACATCTTCCACTGAGCATAATGTCCTCCAGGTTCATCCATGCTGTGAGGTGTTTCATGGATTCATTAATACACTGTAACATCGTGTAGTATTCCACTGTGTGAATCCCATTAGCTCTTGCTAAGGTAGCTGTCACTCCTTCAGGGTGACTGTGTGGCACACTAAAAATCTTTGTTTGGTTTATAAGTATGGTAAGCTACTTGAAGACAACAGTATGGTATTTCAATGATCTGTTTCCCTGTACCCAGCAGAATGCCTGACACATGAGACCCTTAAAAAGTTTTGAGGTTACTTCTCCTCTTTCTCCGCCCCCCACCCCACCCCGTAAGTCAGTAACTACCTCTTCCCTCTCCTCCCCCAAATCCCGTAATACTTTCTTTCTCTCTTAAAACACTTGTCTTATGATTCATGTTAGTATTGTTTTATTTTCCTTACCAGGCTATGAACTCTTTGATGGCAGGGAACAGTTTAATTTTTTTATGCAAGGAATCTTTGCCTCTAGTAATTGTTCAATAGATAACTTATGAACTTGTAATTACAGGAGCTAAGTTTAAAGGCAACCAGACAACACGTGATTACTCATTCTAAATTTGTACACTGCCGTTTAACTATGTTTTTATTTCTACTGAGCAGGTTTCTTACCATCCGGATCAAACACTTGCCACACACCATGGTTTTCCAAGCCACAAAGGCCTGATCAATTTAGCAAGCGTTTCTGATGCTAGGCACTACGAAAAATGCAAAGTTGGATCAGGAATGGGGTCCTGGTCTCTCAAGAAATTCAGTCTAATAAGGGCTCCCAATTCTAATAATATTGAACACTAGACTGTTGGCGCATGTGAGTCACGTGGCCCTGCAGAGTGACAGCAATTACCAGCGTGGTTCCAGGGTCACGTAAAATACACCACCACCAGCCTGTGGTCGAATCCGCCGAGATTCCTAACGAACTGTCTCACCCAGCCAAATGGTTGGGGAATGCGGAGTGACGTCCCATCTTCCCCTCAGACACGGCATCCTCCCAGGCCCTGTATTCCAGAGCTTTCCGCCATCCCCGTTCCCCCAGCACCCCAGCGCAGCGTGGTCCTCACCTACCCACCGGCGCCCTCTCGGCCGGCTTTGCCAAGGACCCTCCCTTCTCCAGGTGGTCCGGCAAATGTGCAACTGAAGTAAAGGGACCCCCTCCCAGCGCGCCCACTCCGGATCCAGCCGGAGTTGTTCTCCTTGCGTTCCCCGCTTCTCACCTGCTCCGCCGACACCGCCCCCTTCCCCGCACCGCTACTGCTGCTCTTGCCGGCGCGACCGCTGCTCTCCGCCATCTTCGCCGCCTGCTGGGCTTCCGGCCAGCGCAGCCCAGCCCCCGCCCTGCGTCACGTCCGGTCTCGGAGTCTCCGCCCATTCACCGCTCCGCTCCTCTGGCCGCCCGCCGCTCTTTGGTTCCGACCCGGTGGATGATTTCCGCGGAATCTTATGTAGGACCCCCGCCCGGTTCTGCCGGCCGCGGTGATTCCACCCGCGGTGCTCGAACGCTGCACCTGGGAGGGCCGCCGAGGGACCGGTGGACTGGAGGGAGGGGGCACGGGTTGGGGTTTGGGGGTTTGTGGCGGGGTTGTGGGAAGGTGAGCTTCCTCTTGAAGGATCTCGGTGTCAGGAAGGGAATCAAAGCGGTGCAGTTACAAACCTGGTAAAGTTCCCGTAGGTGACTTTTGAACTGCGGAAATGTTTGAGAGGAAAAGAGCTTTGGCATAATGTGCGATCGCAGTAAATCGAGGTATCCTGGTGCCCAGCAGCGCTCTCTCCTTTGTGATCTTTTCCTGTAGTCCACAATTGTTTAGAGAGCGTTTGTCTTTACCGGCAGGGCCCTGACTTAGTCTCACAGTATGAAGGAGAAATTCGAGATTTCTAGAAATGTAGTTTTTCAAGGCGGCTTGGTGTTCCGATTTCTCACCTTCCTCAGGCCGAGATTCACCATCAGGCCTTGTCACCAGCTCCTGCCTCTCCTATGCACTGGACTCCGAATACCTCAACTCTCAATAGCTGGTACTCACTCCAGGTAACATGTTATGTTCTCATTGCCTGGCACTCAGTAAATGTTTAACTGGATGCATAGTGGTAGACACGGGTGCCAATTATCCACTCAGTTGGCAAGCCCACTAGGACTGGATCACTCACTGTACCTGGTAAGAGCAGAATGGGAAGTCCAGCCTTCCTGCCTCCACACTTAACCCCTTAGCATTCTTTCCACCTGGATTGGAACATCTGAAAATCCCATCTGTGCTATCCACAGGCCCAGAGCCATGGCCATCTCCTCCTCTTCCTGGGAACTGCCCCTGGTGGCTGTGTGCCAGGTAACATCGACACCAGATAAACAGCAGAACTTTGAAACATGTTCTGAACTGGTTCGAGAAGCTGCGAGACTGGGCGCCTGCCTGGCTTTTCTGCCAGAGGCATTTGACTTCATAGCAAGGGACACTACGGGGACTCTGCACCTGTCTGAGCCGCTGAGTGGGAACCTTTTGGAAAAATACACCCAGCTTGCCAGGTATCAGGGGAAAAAGGAGAGAGATTGAGGCCGTTGGACAGTGTCCCTGATTTGCCAGATAGGACAGAGCCTTGAGAAGGGTTGTCAGTCTCCCCTCCCCCTCCTAGGGAATGTGGACTCTGGCTGTCCTTGGGTGGCTTCCATGAGCGTGGCCAAGACTGGGAACAAACTCAGAAAATCTACAATTGTCATGTGCTTCTGAACAACCAGGGTGAGACTTTACAACCCTTCAGCCTGCCTCTTCTCAGGCTTTTTCTACTTAAGCTTAGATCCCCAGAATTTTGTCTCAATTCTTATTTCCTTGGCCCAGGTTTTTAGGGGTGTTTGTACTTCTGGATCTAGTCTTTGTACCATCTCCTCCTTAGAGATGGGGAGGTGGGCTTCCACCCTAACAATTCTTTCTCCTTCCTCCTCCAGGGTCAATAGTGGCCGCTTATAGGAAGACACATCTGTATGATGTAGAAATTCCTGGGCAGGGGCCCATGCACGAGAGCAACTCTACCATGCCTGGGCCCCGCCTTGAGCCACCTGTCAGCACACCAGCTGGCAAGGTAGGAACTGAGAGAATGAGGGTGAGAGAGATGCAAGAGGGAGGGGGACAGGAATGCTTTCCAAAGTGGTGGTAGATAACAGGAAGCCCCAAAAGGTGCAGCAGGCAGGTTATAACTAGATGCTGTGACAAACAGGTTGCATAGATTTTTTTTTTTTCCCAATTATCCCAGATTGGTCTTGCTATCTGCTATGACATGCGGTTCCCAGAACTCTCCCTGACACTGGCTCAGGCTGGAGCAGAAATACTTACCTACCCTTCAGCTTTTGGATCTGTTACAGGCCCAGCCCACTGGGAGGTAAGAGGACACTTCTTCCAAACCCAAGGACCTTCTCTTAACCTTTCTCCTCCTTTGGCCCTACTAGTTGGCAGATTTTTCTTCCCTTTTGAAGTACATTCTATAGACTGTTGCCTAGCTTTCATCTGGTAATTTCTCTTTCTTAGGCAATTGTTAAGAGCGGCCACAATGGGTAGGTTGCTTTTGGCCTGTGACATTTACCTCCTCCTACTTTCCCACTGGCTGCTACATGTAGTTCAGTGAACATACATCTGCTTATCCTCCAGGTGTTGCTGAGGGCCCGTGCCATTGAAACCCAGTGCTATGTAGTGGCAGCAGCACAGTGTGGCCGCCATCATGAAAAGCGAGCAAGTTACGGCCACAGCATGGTGGTGGATCCCTGGGGTACTGTGGTAGCCCGCTGCTCTGACGGACCGGGCCTCTGCCTCGCCCGAATTGACCTCAACCATCTGCGACAGTTACGCCAACACCTGCCTGTGTTCCAGCACCGCAGGCCTGACCTCTATGGCAACCTGGGTCACCCACTACCTTAAACTTTTGGACTTCTGTGAGTTGAGAACCCCCCACCCCCACCCCCCAATGTGAGCTGGTATCACTGCCAATCAATGGGGCACAGATCCCCTCACTAGAACCCCGACTCTTGATGGATGGGACACAGGCTCACCTTTCTGGAAAAGAAGAAACTTTCACCTGAGCTCAGATTTCCATTTCAAAAAGGTGGCATTTTATAGTCACTGTTTATTTCATGAAAACTGAAGTTACGTTGAGGGCTGAGTATCACTGGCACTGAAAAATGCAAACAAAAAGTAATCATCCTGTGTTTGGCTGTCTCCTTTGGGAGTTGGAAAGTGTGGTGGTAGTATTATGCCAACTGGACTGCTCTCTAGTTCTAGGCCTCCTGGCTCACTCAACTGACGTCCCGACCCAAATCAAAGTGCAACGCTCAGTGCATGTCCCAGTTCCATTCCCAACCTGGGAGACGGGTAGAGATGGGAAAGGGAAAAGAGGAAAGGAGTTGATACTTAGTTACTTCACTTCCACCTCTGAGGCCCTTTGCCCAAGTCAAAAGAAAGCAAAGGGGAAAGGGCTGCAGGGTACTTTAGTTTATTTTCACTTGAACATGGAAGGAAGGTGGCACACTCCCCTTCCCCTTTTTAGGGGAGTGTATTTCAATCCGCCATCTCATCACCATCCACTGTGTATGTGCGTACAGAAACACATGTCACAGTTGAAGGCGTGACAAGGCTGACCCAGTCCTCTCACCTATTGCTCCCTTGAAGAGAGTTGCCAAGGGAGAAAGAAGGAGGAGCCATCCCAGGCAGAAGTTTCAAGCCATGGACTGGAGGAAAAGAGGCAGAGAGGAGCAGCACCAGAGGCCAGGAGAGACTGGAAAGGGTCACAGCTTGTTTTTTAAAAATTCTGTAATTTGGGAGAGGGTGGTGATGAATTTCCAAAGCACACTTCAGAGTCCCACCTGCCACATAATTCCCTTACTCACAGCCCTTTGGTTTGTCAAATAAAATTTAAGAGCCCTCAATCAAGCCAGAGTATTGATAGTCCCTCAGTGCACCCCCAATGTTCACTTCCATCCCTTACAAAGACGCTTCTTCTCCCTAAGCATGTGTCTTCCAGCTCAGTGGTAAGGTGCTGTAGACTCGCTGGGCTACGTGGAAGGGAAACAAAGGGAAAGCCCAGGCACATGGGTGCAGGGAGGGGTACGGACACCACTTCCACTTTCCTTCGTCTTTTCCTTAAAATAAAAAAAGGGGGTCAGGGGATGTGATTGAAAGGATAGGGAACAAACCCCAGAACAGTATGTAAGCTCCAGAGGTGGGTGGAGGGAACAGTCCCCCGAGGTGAGACAAGGGAGAGGTCAGGGCAATGCTTGCAGCATCAAGTTCCTCAGAAGTTTCTGTCGGCCCAGCTCATAGTCCTCCTCATCCACATTCACCAGCAGCTTGATGGCTTCATGGCCCACAGCCTGCTTGAGGGAGTCTGTGATAAAGACACCTTTAAGTGCCTCTAGTAATGAACCATTGATGTAGTCGCGCCAGAATGCGTCGAGGTAGGTGAGCTCAGAGAACTTGATGTCACAGATGATGGAGCCCAGGTCCCGGGATTTGAGGATGGTGTTGGCCTGGTTAAAGCGCTCAAACTGGCGCTCAAGTGGGTCCTGCTTGTTAGAGAAGACATTGCCTTGTAGAGCAGTCTCGTGCTGGCAGTATTCAGCCCGAACCCGCAGTCTGATGTCTATGACGAAAAGAGAGAAGAGGTTACAACGAAAGTTTGAAAGACGGAAACAGACAGAAGAGTAGCAACCAAAGAACATTGCCTGACAGCTTTTGTACCTCTCCTTCAGGGCCAGTTCTTTGGCTATTTACTTCTGAAAGTCTGGCTGAAAGTACAAAGTTCTCTTAGGTGGGACATACTTAGGTCATAACGACCAAAGCAAGCCTTCTACCAGATAGCAGACACTGCCCAGCGTCCTCAAAGTTCTTTATATTTTTCCCTCAAGTCTGCTGTTCCCCTGGGACCCCTGAACTTGCTCCTTACCACATGTCTGCTTTTCCTTGGGATCTGATGTCACTGACTTCCGGCGTTTTCGCTGGCTCCCATGTGTGGCTCTTCCTCGGGCTGGCCGTTTGCTACACATCTGGGGGCCCGACGTGGGGCAGCACACCACAGGATAGTGGGGAGGCACTGACCGGAGGGTAAAAGAGAAGAAAAGATAATAAAGTAAAAGCATAAAATCAAATCAGAAAGGAATGATTTACACTGAGCACTAAAGACAGTATCAGTAATGCGGCCTGACAGGGACAGTGTGGACGGTGAGTTATGGGACCTGTGGGAACCATTTACCCCTCACTTGATTTCTGTGGCACTAGATGTTGGAAGTATCCTGTCACTTAAGTTAGCAAAGCTGAAAAAGTGAGAGGATTAATATCCTCTTGATGATGGAAATTAAGGGGAATTAACATCTCACCTGTTTTGGGGGGCTGGGGAGGCCTCGGTTCTGGATCACTGAGGGCTCTGGGGGTCATATAGCGAATTGACGTCTCCTCCAGATACTTGTCTACAAGATCGGGGCACACTGTGGGGGTATGGGGAGTCATTCAGGAAAAGATACATTCCTCCCTCCTCCCAATCCGACCCTCCACTGGGGCTCATAAACTCTTCTCCTAGGTCCTCCCCAGGGTCAATGCCTCCTCCCCTGCACTCCTATGCTACTCATTCCTGGCCACCCACAAGTCTCCCTGATTCCAGTGTCCTGGCCCCAATGCACCCTCACCAGCCCGCCTCCTCTTGAGAGTGACGTAGGGCAGCAGGTCATGACGAGTGATGATGCGCAGCAGCTGCAGCACCTGGCGAAAGTTACTCTCATCACAGCGGCCCTGGCGCTCCAGCGCCAATAAGAAGTCACGTCCATTTCGGATGAGGCCGCGTTCGTGGTCATCAATGACATCAACAAAGAGGAAGGAAAGAACGCGCACATCTCTGTGTGTCAGGTGGGTGCCCACGATGTCAAACATGCGGTGCAGGCTGTACAGCCCATGCTCCTGCTCACCATGCTCTTCTGGCCACACCTGGCTAGCCTGCCGCTTTAGGCCCGTCATGCTGGGGGCTCAGGTGTGCACTGCTTTCCAGAATCCCTGCTCAGCAGCTGCAATCCTCACTATGCTGTAAAGATAGGAAAAGAACCTGTGAGCCACTTATTAGCAGGAACCAGCCAGTCATACCCATGTGCCCAGAGTCCAACACAATGCCTAGCATAGTGTAGTGCTACAAGGGTTTATTGAAAACACACAACTGTTGAGAGCTCCTCTCTTCCTGCCCACACTCAGCAGATGATGCTCCAAGTCTAGACTCTGCTGGGCTCAGATAATATAGTCATGTCCCTAAATGAGAATGTTGGATACAACTTTAGTGATCTAAATTCAGCAAAAGTTGCTAATAGATATAAGTCCAAGTATTCCTCCTGATGCCAAAAAAACTGCTGTTGGTTCCTTGAGAATTGTCCTTTGAACCCATCACCTCTTAAAGGAGGCAAAATTTAAGTAAAAAATTCACTCAAATATGGAAGTTGCATATAATATGCTTTCTGTTGTGTGCCATCAAGATGCTCCTCACGGAGCCCTTTTAGGGCAAAGCAGAACTAACTGTCCCATAGGGTTCCTAGCCTGTAATCTCGACCAGGACAGACTGCCAGATCTTTTCTCCTTTGCAGCCACTGGGAAGTTCAAACCACTGACCCATCAGCTAGGAGCCAGGCGCTTAACCACTGCACCATCAAGGCTCCTTAGCATGTACCTTAGGGACTCACAACAGGGAAACTGAAAACCTTTAGGTTTAGAACTAGGTTCACTTCTGACTAGCTCTAATAGCTGTTTATCTGTGTGACCATAAACGAATCACTTAACTTCAAAGCCTTAGTGCTGTGTATATCTGAAACAGCACCCCCCATCTAAAGAATAGGGATAAAAGATACTTCTCAAGAGTCAAGAATCAAACGAGTATATGTAAAATCACTTTGTAAACTAAAAAGCGTAATATACACAGTTATCAACGAGATTTCTGAAGCCCCTTCATCTAAGGATCCTTGACCTCTGCAGCCCAGACACATCCTTCTACAAACCTATCCTCATTTTAGTATAATCCAACCAAATGGAGACACATAACTGCTCAGTAAGATTTAGTCAATTATAGTCACTAATCTTGTGAGGTTTAATAAAAAGTACTTGTGAAGCCCCTATGTTGTGCATTCTCCCATGCTGCTAGTTTTTTTGTTTTGTCTTTTCTTGCTTGTAGTTCTTCCTTAATGTTCATGGGATATACCACCTTCTAAGAGTCCTGGTGATGCTGTTGAGGTAAGCATTGGGCTGCTAACCACAGGCAGTGGTTAAAACCCACCTACCCACCCCTTAGGAGAAAGTTGAGGCTATCTGCTCCCATGGAGCCCTAGTGGCATAATAATTACGTATTGGGCTGTGGTCTGCAAAGACAGCTGTTCAAAACCATCAGCATCCCCACGGGAGAAAGACAGGGCTTTCTCCTCCTGTAAAAGTTATATCTGCTACTCTGTTCCATAGGGTCACTATGAATTCACATCGACTCAATGGCAGTGAGTATGTGATCTGTTCCTATAAAAATTTACAGCCATGGAATCAATTTGATAGCTGTAAGTTGGTTTGATTAGCCTTTCCTCTTGTTTGCCATTTACCAATTCCTGGTCAAAGACAAATCACAGCCATGTATTTTGGCATTTGGTTCACAAAGTTCCTCTATTCAATACTGCTGTCAATGACCCAGTCAGGAACCAATCCTCATGTCCAGCCACCTTTCACTTCTCTAGCCACTCGTACCTATTACCTTGCCAGAGAGTAGCATCCAACATCGTTGCACTATCTGACCACAACTTCTAGTCACCCAGTTACAAATTCCTGTTGGTGCTACTTTCAAAGACTTCTTAAATCTTCCCCATCTTTCTACCTTTACTACCACTGCCCTGGTTCTTGTCCTAAAAATCCCTCACCTGGACAACTGCAACAGCCTCTCTAAGGGCTCTCTATACCATAAACTGTAACCTACTTAATTCCATCTCCCATATCTAGTTGAGTTAGCTAATTAAAATGTGAAACTGACCCTATGACTTTCCTGCTGAACACCTGCCTACAAGCCCCCTCCTTACTACATAAACACTCCAAAGTCCTTACACAAGACACTAACCCTTGTAAGATCAGGCCCTGCCTACCTCTTCAGCCTCACAAGTTGCCATCCCACCAAACTCATTGCCATTGATCGGGTCTCAGCTCATCCTGACTATAGGACAGAGCAGCAGTGATCCATAGGGCTTCCAAGGCTGACACCTTAATTAAAGTAGACTGACACATCTTTCACATTCGGAAGGTGAACTAATGACCTTTCAGTAGTTCAGCTTTGACTGCTGTACTACCAGGGCTCAGTTCCACCCAACATACTCTACTTTTTATTCCTTAATGTGATCAGTTTGTCTCTACCTTTCTCGGTACCTTTCTTCAGGCTATTCCTTTTAGAAAATGCTCCTCTCCCTTCCATACTTTCACCACCCGTTCTTAGATGACTAACTCCTACTCAATTCTTTACGAATCGCTCACATGCCATTTTCAAAATGTATTCTCTATACTCCCACACTGAGATAAGGGGTCCCCAGGCTCCTATGGAATCTATATTCCCTTTGAAGACTCTAGCAAGATGTACTGAAATTACCAGTAAGTGTGCACTTACTACTCAATTAGGCTTGTGCTATTCATGGAGCAAGACTAAGTCATCTTCCTCTTGATATCCCAAGTGCATAGCAATGAATAGAGCCCTGTTGCTGAACTAAACTAATCTCTTAAGATATCACTCCAGGGGTGGGGTAGGGGAAAAAAAAGAGACCATTCCATAGGAAAGAAACACCGGAAGCCCTACACCATAAAGAAACCTGTAAGAAAGACAAAGGAAGAACTGGCTCTAGAGAAGAAGCGAGAGCTAGAAAAGTGATTACACGATGCCAGTGGGCAGCTCAATTCCACCAAAAAGCCCCCTAGGAAACCAAGTGAGAAGACAGGCTTCAGCAGCACAGCACGTAGCAGTGTCACACCTCAGTGCTTCCAGCTCCGATTCTGGTTCTTCCTCTTCATCGTCATCACCTTCAGACACCAGTGATTCAAACTCAGGCTAAGGGGCTAGGCTAGAATGGGGCAGGAGGCTCCGCAGGACCGGACCCCTAGATCACCTGCCTTGCCCCTTCCCCCCACCCCCCCTTGGTTGTGACATTTCCTCATCTCACCCTCCACTGTAGGAGAGCTGGATCTGTGGTGGGGGTGGGGGGGGAAGAGGGGGAATGCAGAGACATTTACTGAAGGAAGGACATATGGACAAAAGATTCTGCATTCCCAGCCACAGTGGGAGTGACCTCTTGGGCAGGGTCATAAAGCCCCCACTAAAATGGATGGAGCCAGGGGTACAGGGTGAGAGTGGGCAAAGGCCCTGAAACGGTGTTAATCAAGGTCATCACTGCCCTGTATTGAGGTTGGTTGTTCTAATTTATTTTAAGCTAGGGATGGGGCTATCCCCCCACCCCCAGCCTCCATAGGGAGAGAAGAAGGGGGAACTTTTTTTTTACATTGACTTGTTTTTACTTTCTGTTTCCCCTTCCTCCTACATTTGGGACGCCTGGGGTTTCAACCATCACCTCCCCATTTGGTCCTCTTTAACTGTCTTTTTTTCTTGTCTGTTGATTCTAACTTGTAAATAAAGAAAATATTATTTTTATTTTAAAAAGGATCACTCCAAGCAACCCAAATTAAAAACAAACTCCCCATAAGTCCAAGAGAAGGGCCCCATTAAAAATGTACACAACTCAGTTACCAGGCATATAGTCTGACTAACCAGAGTCTCTCCTCCAATACAGTACCACTCCATCCCAACATGCAACCTAAAAGCATCCTCATCAACAGGATAGCTTGCTCTGTCCATTTTATATACGAACAAAAAGGCTCGGTTAAGAGAGAGAATCAAATGAAGCGCCAAGCTGATGAGGACTGACAACTGGAAAAGTAAAGGTACGGTACGCAGGGCCTGAATCTCTTCCTCAGGAAACCTACCATGGAACCAGAAAGGCTCATTGCTGTAAGTCAGGGGAAGGCACACCCTTAAGGTCCAGTGAATTACTTAATATAAGTCGGCTTTCTACTCCTGTGAAGTTAAGAGTAACAATCCAAGCACGAAGGAGAGAATGCTATCAGCTTAACCTGTGAATACCCAGTTTTCAGAAGGCTAGGGAATGACAGTGAGAACTCAAAATCTGTTTGTATTAAGCCTCCATTAAACTCCCTCTGACTAGAGACCAGGGATGTGAACATCCTTGCTCTAATGCAGAATGCGGTATTTTTGTTTGGTTTTTCTGTATTTTGTTTTCCATGTTATTTTGTATATGAAATCCAGGATGGGTAGAGCTCTAGTGACTGCACCGATGGTTTCTTTAGGGGTATGATGGGGAAGGTTGGGGAGGTGGGGAGCTAGTGCTGATGGGTGCAGAGGAAAGCAAATGTTCTAAAAGTTCACTGTGGAGATGACTGTACAGCTCTTTTTAATGTACGAGAACTATTGAATTGTATGATATGTGAAATATATGCCATTAACACTGTTAGAAGTTTTTTAAAAACAGAACCAAAGAAAAAGCTAGTCTCAGAAACCCACAAGGGGGGTGAACAAGCAAATGTGGAGAAGAAAGCTGATGGTGCCCGGCTATCAAAAGATATAGCGTCTGGGGTCTTAAAAGCTTGAAGGTAAACAAGCGGCCATCTAGCT